AAAAAAAAAAAAAAAAAAAGAAATTACCATTATGGTTTGAAGTAGGAAAACATTTGGGACGGTGCCTGTGGCTCAAAGGAGTAGAACACCAGCCCCATATGCCGGCGGTGGTGGGTTCAAACCCAGCTCTGGCCAAAAACCGCAAAAAAAGAAAAGAAAAAGAAAACATTTGGGTTCCAGAGCTCTAGGCTCTGGGGTAATGTTCTTATCTTTATGAGTGGCTGGGTAAGGACCCCTGATTCATATCATCTGGCTTCAATCATCTACCTATGTGCAAAACTCTAACCCTTTCCTAGAAAAAACAAAGCTAGACTTCCTAAACTTACCCTTCTCTCCATTTTCTCTACCCACTCAGATGTCCAATCCCCTCTACAAGCTAAAGCAAATCTGCCACCCCAAACCTTTCCCATGGAACCATGTAAAGACTTACTAGGGGAGGTGCCTGTGGCTCAAAGGAGTAGGGCACCAGCCCCATATGCCAGAGGTGGTGGGTTCAAACCCAGCCTCGGCCAAAAAACTGCACAAAAAAAAAAAGAAAGACTTACCAAATGGAAATTCTTTGCTGTGTTCACATGTGCTGCAAAAACTCCTCTGTCCTTAAGCCTAGTACTCAGAGTCTTTTCTGGTGCCAAGAGAGAGAAATCGGGACAGGAAAGAGGAGACCTTCCTTATAAGAGTTGTAGTCCCCTCCCTAGCCTGCCACCAAGCCAAGATTTTCCTTCCTCAGAACATTTGCACATTCTGTTCCTTCCACTTGGAAGACTCGGCCCCTTCTCCAGGCTAAATGCTATTTATCCTTCAAGTTGCAGCTTAAATATCACATCCTTTGTGAAATCTTCACTGACCCTCACTGCATCTCCAACTAGCCTGGACCCCTCTTTATCTATTTTCATAGCATCACAAGCCTCTTCTTTACATAATTTCCCCCAGAATCATTTGTGTAATCATTGGATTTTTGTGCATCACCTTCACACAAAAAGGTCTTGTGCATTTCTGTAGCCCCACCCCCTTAGTGCAATCCTGACACAGGGGCTCACTTGACGAGCGACAGAATAAGGAAGCTCAGTTCCAGCTTTGGTGACTTCCCATTTTGATGAGAGAAATAAGGCAGTTACAGCTTAAAACAGACCTGAGAATTCTTTTTTTTTGAGACAGAGCCTCAAGCTGTCCCCCTGGGCAGAGTGCAGTGGCATTACAGCTCACAGCAACCTCCAACTCCTGGACTCAAGCAAGTCTCCTGCCTCCACCTCCCAAGTAGCTGGGACCACAGGCACCCACCACAACGCCCAACTATTTTTTGGTTGCAGCCGTCATTGTTGTTTGGCGGGTCCGGGCTGGGGATTCGAACCCGCCACCTTAGGTGTACGTGGCTGGCGCCTTAGCCGGTTGAGCTATAGGCACCTAGCCAGACCTGAGAATTCTAAGCAACTAAAACCCTTTGGATAAACTCTGCGATCCCATCTTATTTGGAACTGAAAAGCTAATTCCTAGCTCCACCCCACACCCCTTGGCTTTTGGCCATCACCAGGCAAAATCCAAGGAATGACATTTGGGGCCCTTTGTAGTGTGGTTCCAGAGTTTACTGTTGCCTTCTTCTGCCTCCATCTGGTGTTCCAACCCTAATCCCATGCTCCAACCACACTAAGCTGAAACGAGTTTTTAAAAATTGCATCCCATGGTGTTTTTTGAGTCTGTCTTCAGTACAGCGATGCCATGGTGAAAAGACATAGCTATGGTGGAGGCGAAAGACAGGAAAGAGTTTGCCCTTAACTTCTCTGAGCCTTCATTTTCTCGCCTACATTTACAAAGTACAGAAGTGCAGGACTGGAGTGAGGATCTGGTGGAACAACAGATGCTCTGCCAACTGAGAAAGGCTGTATGGGCATGCATTGTTAAACCCTGAGGATGAGTAAGCCTTTGCTCTCTTAAAGAAGCTCACAGTCCTGAAGTTGTGGAGGATATATAGTGGCTCCTAGTACTTAGGGAAGTGAAATAGGAGGAATACTTAAAGCCAGCAGCAGTTCAAGACCAGCCTGGGCAACATATCAAGACCCTATCTCTACAAACAATGAGAAAAATTAGCCAGACTTGGTGGTACATGGCTATCATCCTGGCTAAGTAGGGAGGCTGAGGCAGGAGGATCCCTTGAGCCCAGGAGTTTGAGGCTGCAGTGAGATGTGATCATGTGCCACTGCACGCCAGCCTGAATGACAGAGTACGACCCCCACTCTGTCATTTTTTTTTTTGAAACAAAGTCTCACTTTGTTGCCCTGGGTAGAGTGCTATGGCATCATAGCTCACAGCAACCTCAAACTCTTAGGCTCAAGTGATCCTCCTGCCTCAGCCTCCTGAATAGCTGGGACTACAGGTG